CTTATCATGTCACGCCACCTGTTTTCGTAGATATTCGATACATGAGTTCTCAATTAAGATCATTAAAAGCTTGTTGAGGAGACTACATGATAAGACATATGGAGTACATTCATCCCATTAAATTAATTTGGATGAGCGGAGTTCGAGTGTCAAGCATCTGGGTGTGTGTGCGTGTGTATATACATACATGCATATATACATACATATATATATATATATATATATATATATATATATATATATATATATATATATATATATATATATATGTGTGTGTGTGTGTGTGTGTGTGTGTGTGTGTGTGTGTGTGTGTGTGTGTGTGTGTGTGTGTGTGTGTTTATATGTATATGTATACATATAAACACATACATGTTTATATGTATATGTATACATATACATATGCATACAGCCTACATATACATATATGTATTTAAATATGTGTATATGTATATACACTCACACACACACAAGCTGTACTTGTGTGTGCATGTTTAAATGACTTCAAACAGCGTAAGAACGAGATTAGAAAGAATTGATTCTGGGAAAACAAACTTTCCTTTCGAAAATGCAAAAATTACAGACTTTCAATCTGCAGTAGCAATGCCACAAATTGAAATGAAAGACAATCCGACCCCTGCCTCGGCATGTGTTCCGTCCACTGTGACGAGGAGCGTAACGTCAGCAAACAGGAACCATGTGTCAGAACACGCTGACAAAACAATCCACGTTAGCTTAGGAATTACTGTGGAGGCGACGTGAGGTGCGCTGCATGTCACTCACTTCACTCTGTCAAACTGTAAGCCGACATAAGACAGAATAGAATGGTGGACAATTGTCAGTCTTGCTCCTTCAGCGCAGAGGTTTTGTCAGAGCGACCTGTCAATCTCACTGTGAGCGTTTATAATTGTACAAATCTTATCAAAAATTGTACACACACACACCTGCGGCGTACCTGTACAGCTGCACACACGAACGTGACCACGCACACAAACGACAAGGACTTCCAAATTGAGTATACATGTCCTTGAATACACAGTATAACATGCAAGCGTGCAGATTCATGCTATCACCTCATATGCCTATCGAGTCTTCCGGGAGGAGCCTTTGACCACCACTTTCTGGACTTTAAACCGATGACGTAGCGCCTCTACGCACACATTCTCATGACGTCACAGTAAACACGCAGACGATATACACTCGTGGCGCCCAAACTTAATGAATTTCTAGTATGCTACCCGCAAGAAACTAAAATATTCCGAATATCAAACTTTATTTTGTATTTTAAAGAAATTAACAAGTATACATTAAAGTAAAAGTAAATATAAGTACAACAATTAGTAGAGTTGTAAATCTGACTCTCAATTTTAATTTTGGTACCGGACGTTTAGTAGTGTGTCAGTCAGCCGGTCGGGGAAGGGACGTTTCGTGGCAAAGAGCCCTCGAGGCCCGACAGAGGCACACGTTAACGTCTTCGCTCCTCTTGCCGCCTTTACAGGTTTGCTCTTATAATTTGTCCTTTTGGGAATACAGCGCGGGAAGCTAAAGGAGTAAGAATACCATCACCAAAGTTAATTAGTGAGTGTCCATACAAGTTCCCCAAAGATTTGATCAAAACACGAATGGGGTGATCGACCAAAAAAAAAAAAAAAACAGATCCCTGGATTATTTTTTTATTTAATTGATTTAAGTGTCCTGCGTTTGACTTAGGACCCGCATGCAAAACTCGCCTTCGTTCAACAAGGGCTTCTCTAGGATCTAGCAAACTTTGACAGCAATTGCAAACCCTCAGTCCAATTGTCGAGGTGGTCAAAAGATTTAGTAAAATTCCAAGGTCCATGAACCCCGTGCCCAATTGTGTAATGGCATCATATACCCAGTTTTTCTTTTGCAACTTGCTGGTTTTGTTGCACAGGTAACCTTTTTATGCAATACTTTCTGAGAGGGAATATGGATGTTGCAACCAAATTTATACATGTGTTTAGAGAGGAGGTTATATGTAGGACTGATAGATACCATGGCCATGTAGTAATTATTTGATATTTACATAGTAAAGGTTGATGATGTGGTATTAGTTAATGAAATACAAGTGTACAGAGACAAGATTGAGAAGTGCTGAAATGTCATAGATTTGTGTACTATCTTCAAGTCTTTTGATAAAGCCAGAATACAGTCACACACACACACACACACACACACACACACACGCACGCACGCACACACACACACACACACACACACACACACACACACACACACACACACACACACACACACACACACACACACACACACACACACACACACACACACAAACACAAACAAACGAATAAAAAAACAAAAACACAAACAAAACACATGCATACACATTCATACCTCAAGATATGCTTATAAACCAGCAAAAGTGAAAAATGCACACCTGTATAAGTAAAACTAACCAGTAGATTGCAGCAATCACATAAGAAGTAAAGATCCAAGTACATATTAAAAGTGAAAGTCAGAA